AAAAGAGTGATTTGCTTATGCTACGATCAGTGTTGGGAAGGTTACTTTTGAAATGTATTCCACTACAGATTACAGATTACATGCCCCAAAATGTATTCTGTTACGTTACTCAATGAGAGTAACTATTCTGAATACTTTGATTACTATTACTGAAGGATAGTCGCCATACCAATACCAACTCGATTTTTAATAGCTTACTTACAACTGGGCTACACTGCCCATGAGGCTACATTCTTTAGGGCTATGCCTGTAACACTATTGCCTTCATATTAAATAATTTTTTGAACAATAATTTTTAAAAATATTTCTCATCATTATGCGGGCCAAAGGTGACATGGGCAGATTGAGACACAGGCATAGAGCCTCTTGATGCGTGTTTTGTTTGGGTTTCCACCGGCATGGAATTACCAAAACCAGTGAGGGGACAGCCTAACATATGAAACAAGAAAAGGCCGCCGTGTAATCCATTTATTTCAACAAAGTAACTGTATTCTGAATACCACCTTTTTAAACGGTAACTGCAACGGAATACAGTTACTCATATTTTGTATTTTAAATACATAACACCGTTACATGTATTCCGTTACTTATATATTATTATAACAAATAGATCAATATGTTATTAATCTATTTGGTCCTTTACTCCTCAGCTCCTCTGTCAGGCAATGACCAGCTGTGCTGATGAAGTACGAAAACGAAAACAAGATGATGAGCTTTCTCTTCCACTCATCCACGTTGCCTATCATTTGTACCAAAACCGTCTTCAGAACCTCTCACGGATGATTTCTCTTCATCCTGAAGTTATTTCCCCTTTGCAAAAAAATCCGGTGATTAGCGGTTATCCGGCAATGGTGAGCACGTTTCTTAATTCCTGGTGTTCACATTCTTGTGACAAGAATGACACAGCATGTTACAAATATTGCAAAACTATCACTTACAGACTACTTTACTTTCCTGTAGGTTTTGGATGTCTATGCAGCCAAGGCATGTGTTGAAAGCCTGGAACCTTCTAACTTAGAGAATGATACTGTCTGCCAGCGCTGGCTGAGGAAGGTGAAGAAGGTGCAGGCTTCTTTGGAGTTGATTTGCTTCCAAAGCAGTAGCAAAAAATATGGTGAGCACTGCCGGAAAGTACTCCATGATTTCAGGTAAGATACTGATGCAGTGAATTGAAATTCTGATGCCCAGTTCTCTCTAGTGTTAAAATGGCCTGTATTTGTATAGCGCTTTACTTAGTGTTACTGAAAGAACCTCTCATTGTAGTCGCCCATTGTTGTGACTCATATTGTGGTGATTGCTGTAATGCAGAATATTCTTGTTTATTCAAAGACATCGTAGCTCACTTATTTCAAAATCAGGTGTATGACATTAAACTGTCAACTTAGGTTTTCCACCTTTTTTTTCTTCTTTTTTTTTTGCCTGTCCCGTTTGGTTCTTTTGCCATCAGAATTATTGTCTAAAGGCAAAGAAAGATGCCCAACTTTACCAAATGGACCTTGCAGTGTTGGTCTATTTGATTCACCTTTGCTTTTATTGTTTATTTTATTTTATTTTCACTTGCTAACACGGGACAGACTTGACTGGGGAAAAGAAAAGGGAGAAAGAAAGAGGGAAAGAAAAACAGCGGGGAAGAGGAACGGTGATAAAGGGCAAAAAACAAAAACCAACAAACAAACAGACAAAAAATGCATATATCAATCACCTGGATCACCTGTTGAGAAAGAAAAAAGAGAAAACAAGCAAAAAAAGAGAGCAATATAATAAACAACATCATCACGATGATCTATGTGAATATAACAGTAAATACTAAATATTAAATATTATTGTGCAGCACGTAGGATCGACAGCGCACAGTGTGCTTTGAGGTAGGAGCCAAAAAGGGTGTAGTTTGTGTCTGTGAGCGCCCGTGTGTACACCTGTGAGCATGAGCGCGCTTGCATTTAAACGTTTCCTTCATGTAATGATCTGGTTTACCACCTTTTATAACTGCTTTATTTGAGAATACAAAAGCTGAGCAATGACAAAAATTTAGAATCACAAAACATCTGAATGAATTTTAAAAGTTTATATTCTTTTAATCACAAAATCACTGAAATGTGGGTGAATCCATTACAGACAGGTAAATGCTTTAATCATCCAGTCATGAAAGATTATTCTAAAAGTCATCAACTGACTCCAAATCCCCAGATATGAACCACCTGTCTGCTGAAGAGAAACACTGAACACTACTCTAACAGAGGATGACTATCTTGTTAATTTCGCCTCCTCACTACATATGACTCTGGATACTGTAGCTCCTGTGAAAAATAGAGCCCCAAATCAGAAGTATTTGAATCCCTGGTTTAATTCTCAAACAAGTAGCTTAAAGCAGATAACTCGTAAGCTGGAGAAGAACCAGCATATCACAAATTTAGAAGATCATCATTTAGCCTGGGGAAATAGTTTGCTGCTTTATAAAAAAAATAAATTCCTCTGTAAAGCTTCATCACTGATTAAAGAAAATAACAACAACCCTTGGTTTCTCTTCAGCACTGTAGCCAGGCTAACTGTACAGCCCAAGCTGTGTTGAGCCAACCATTCCATGAATTTCTTCACAAAATGAAATTTTAACCATTGGATAAAAAATTACTTAATAATCATCTTATGTAACATTATCTACAGCTCTCAAAAAGTTGATTCTGTTCATCTGGATGTAATGTTTTCAGTGCGAGAAACGTTTCGTCACTCATCCAAGTGACTTCTTCAGTCTCAGCTGACTGGTTGGGTTTCTCCAACCTTATAAACAGTACATTTGCATAATGACTGAAGGTAGCACCAACAGGTGTCCATTATTTCACTATAATTGGAACATATTTTAATAAAACAGTTAAAGAACAAAACTTGTGTCAGTGTCCAAATATACATGGACCTAACTGTAATTTGAAATGGGAATTTATTGCTACAGGGTGCCCGCAGCAGCATTATAGTGTAATAGTAGTGACACAGTATATACAATAACACAGCATAGGTCACATGTAAGCACATAAGTAACGTAGGTAGTTATTTTCCTTTTAAGTTAAGGAATAACAACAAATTAACTGAGAGTTAATCGTATAACTCTGAGCTCCACTGTACTGTCACATATCAATCAATGGATGTCTCTTGCATTAAGCTTTTTAACCAGATGCACAAAGTCCTGCTTTTCCACTGTGTCACTGCATTAGTAATTTCCCTCCAATGTTTGCTCTTCCTGTCCTATAGAATGGAAGTAGCAAGTGTAGCTATCAGTGTTTGGTTGAGTCATTTGTTTACATTTGGGTTGCACATCACCAGCTACTGCTATCTGCTATCACAAAGTTTTTTAAGTTTTTTGTGTTTTTCTGGTGGTTGTTAAAGCTAATTTTATTTTACAAAATTTGCAATGGAGGCTGACATGCATCTCTGTGTCATTCCTTGGGCTTGTCTTGTCATTGCACAGACTAGACTGAGGATATAGTGTTGCTTTAACAATGATATTGAAGTAATTTTATGTATTTTTTATTATTGTTACTAACTGTGATTGTGTGTGTAATATTTTTGCAGCAATGGCTGGAAGCGCATCCACATCCTTTCTTTTTTTGTTGAACACATGCTACTGGGTTTCCAAAAAGAAGACCGTCAGCTCAGGACACATGTCCTAAACACCATTAAAACTCTTAGCAATGTAAGTGGGTTTTTTGTTTTATTGTATGTTGTTTTGCTTTGCTTTAAAACAAGCAGTTAAACTGTTGTATCTAATAAAGTGGCTGGTGAGTTTATTCAGGTCAAATCTGGTTTGCTTTAGGTTTAATTTAAAAATTAAAGCTGACCAAGCTCAACATAATCAATGTGGTCTACAAAGATGGAGGCCGTC